GAGAGGCTGTTAACGGAGCGCACCCGGCGCTCCAGGCCTGACGACGATTCCCTGCTGGACCAGGACCTGCCTTTGACCAACAGCCAGCTGAGCCTGAAGGTGGACCCGTGTGACACCTGCAGCAGACGCAGGGAGCTGCTGAAGCAGAGAAAGGTGAAGACCAGGTTGACCATTGCCGCCGTTCTGTACTTGCTCTTCATGATTGGAGAGCTCGTAGGTGAGTTGTGTGGCCAACTCACTTGCCGTTTCCGTTGTGTCCAGCTCTAGGTGCACGGGATTGGAGGTTTAAACTTTCTTGCCCTTTCTCAAGATACTGATCTCTTGGGGTGCAAAAAGTCCACACAGTTCCAAAGTGCAGGTCAGTCTAAGTACAAACATATGTTTATTGTTTACCTCCATGGTACATCATGTAACTTCCTCTTTTCTTCCAAAAGAATTGTGAGCAAACACCAGGTTAGTTCTTGCAACGTTTAATATAGTAAAAAGATAGATAGATAAATAAATAAGTAAATAAATAAAAATCTAAAGTTACTTAGAACCTCTTGCAACGTTTACAATAGTAAAATAAATAAATTAATAAATAATAAATAAAAATCTAAAGTTACTTAGAACCGTAACATTTTACTGTATGAAGGGACCTTCCCGAACACCTGCAGGCTCCACCCCCTTTTTCATAGGGAATCGGAGGGCCAGAGAGGTTCAAGAAGTTGGGAGGAAATGGGGTGGTTAATGGAAGAGTCCCAGGCTTTTTTTCCTCTACCTTTGACTTAGGTGGTCTCTGTGCTACTTCCTGTTAGATTTATAGCCAAGAGATTTGCAAAATTAAATACCACCAACTAACCTGAAAGTTTTTCATTGTAAGGAGAATCTGAAAGGCACCAGAAAATGGCTCCCCCAGGGTGTATGAACTTGGTTTAATTTTCATTTTTTAGTTATTTAAGTAATGCACTCTCACTGTAAAATACATTCTTTGCTTAGAGAATTCAGTGTCACATTAGTGTAACTGCTGACTTGTCCTAGTGACCGTTCACACAGTGACACTAACGCAGAGAGACCATCCTGCCACGGTGTCTCTTGGTGATGCACCACGATGAGACTAGAGGTGGCAGTCCAGATTTGAGGTGCTGGTTGGAGGTTAAATGTGGGAAAATTACGTGCACTTCCTACCTCATTTCATACCACTCCTCCCCAGTGCTCACTTCAGCCATGCTGGCCACCTTTCCCCTATAACTCACAAAGCTCTTTCCCGCCCTTAGGGCCTTCACAGATTTTTTTGAGGTCACTAGAGTAAGAAATGCAGTTAACACTGTGACTCGTGTAGGTAGGTGTGCATCATACCAATGTATGTATGCACCGATACACGTATGTATAAATACCTATGTATAACTGAAACAAAAGTTTTATTTCATGTGATGTCTTCTAATATATTTTTTTCAATTGTGGTTCCACCCCACCTAATTGATTTCATGGGTCCACAAATAGAGCAGGATCTGCAGTTTGAAAAATACTGCTTTATGTGGGTGGACTTTTCCCAGATCTTCTCTTGGCAGGTTTCTTGTTATTCATGTCTCATCTCAAAAGGTACCTCTGAGAGACCTTTCTGACTGACTAAACCTTCCTTCTCCCCTGTTCCCTCCCCAACTATAAAAGCCCTCAACAGCTGAGATGATCTTGTTTGTATATTTCCTTGTTTTATATTTCCTCGTTTAACATCTTGTCTTTTTCCACTGAAATATAAGCTGAATTCCCAGCACCTAGAACAATGATTGGCACAAAGTAGACACTCATTAAATTTTTGTTGAGCTCGTTTTTATTGTGTTAGAGAATAAACAGTTTGGCTGCAGTGTAGTAAACAAGAGGGGAAGAGGCCTGGGAACCAGATCAGGTAGGTCCTGTATTAAATGGACCGTATTAAATGAGTGTAGTTTTTAATTCTAAATACAATGAGAAGCCAGTGAAGGCTTTTCAAAGCAGAGTGTGACATGTTTAGGATTTACCTTTTTAAAAGATTACTCCAGCTCTTATTTGGAGAATGGATTGGAGGGTGCAAAAATGGAAACAACTAAACTGTTGCAGAGATCCAGACAAGAAATCATTATGGCTTGGACTAAAGTGGCTGGAGAAAAATGTACTTACTGATTGAGAAACATTCTAGAGGTGACATGGACAAACTTGGCTAGTGCTTTGGGTATGGTGGTTGATGGGAGAGCAGTGTCAGGAATGATGCTGAAGTTTCTCACCTAAGCAGCTGAGTGTATGGAAATGTATGTCATTTATGAAGCAGGGAGAAAATATAGAGCAGGATCTAGCCATGGTTGTTTCAAACATGTTATCATATGTATGTGAAATAGCCAAGTAAATATGTCTAGTGAGCATATGAGTCTACAGTTCAGAAAAGAGGTCAAGGTGGAGATATAGTACGTAATGCCATGGGGAATGGAAAAAGTCACCTAGAGAGCCCAAGTCCGGAGAACTCCAACTTTAGAAATCAGGCAAAAAGCAAACAGGTATCTCAGAATCCAAGAAAAGAGAGCATTTCAATAAATAAGTTGAAGCTGCAAGAGGTCCAATAAGATGAGAACTAAAATATCCTTAAGTTTAATAACAGTGTTATTGATTACTTTAACAACTGCATTTTTATTGAAAGTGAACAAGTTTAAAAAGTGAGTGTAAAGATTGTAAAGATGGCAAATGAACTCATTCATCTAATTGTATTCTCTCCAGAAGCCTCTCTTAAACTACAATAAAAGGATCTGTATATCCACACAGCTGTGGAAAACTGGAGAGCAGACAATAGCAACACAAACTCGGGAAACTAGATAAGAAACTGATAAAGGAGGTAACTGCCTTAATAGATCCAAGAAAGCCATCTCCTAAGCAAGCAATAGGGAAAGAGCCAAGAACCAACCCAATAATATATCAGGAACACCTAGAGAACTTAAGCACAAACTCTGGGCCACAGTTTCTAATTAAGTAGTTCTGGGATCTGGCCTGTGAGTTTGCATTTCTAACAAGTTCCCAGGAGATGCTGATCTTGCTGCTTTATAAAATAAATTCAGGGTAAAAAAAAAAAAAAAAGCTTTTAGCCCTGGTCGGTTGCTCAGTGGTTAGAACGTAGGACCAAAGGGTTGTGGTTTTGAATCCCGGTCAAGGGCACCTGCCTTAGTTGCAGGTTCCCAGCCCCTACCTCGGGTGGGAGGCAAACCATCGATGTGTCTCTCTCATGTCAATGTTTCTCTCTCTCTCCCTCCCCCCATCCTCCTTCCCTTCCACACTGTCTAAAAATCAGTGGAGAAAATAGCCTCAGGTGAAGTTTGTTTTTGTTTTTTTAAGCTTTTAAACAATAAAAACACAAAATATTTTTAACTCCACAGAAAAGTTGGAAGATGAACTAAGGTAATCTCTGACAAGAGTAGAGCAAAAAAGTAGAAATGGATAATAGGAGAAAAAAGGCAAGAAAATTAGTATATTAGTCCAAACGCCAAGTAATAGGAGTTTAAAGAAAAAAAAGCAGAAGGAAAGAAATCAGCAACATACAGTAGTCCCCCCTTATCTGTGGTTTTACTTTCCAAAGTTTCAGTTACCCGTGGTCAACCATAGTCCAAAAATATTATATGGAAAAATCCAGAAATAAACAATTCATAAGTTTTCAATTATGCGCTGGTTCTGATTAGCATGATGAAATCTCACACTGTCCTGCTCCATCCTGCCCTAGAGGTGAATTATCCCTTTGTCCAGTGTATCCACACTGTCCATCCTGACAGTCACTTAGTAGCCTTTTTGATTGTCATGATAGCCACAGTGCTTGTCTTCAAATAACCCTTCCTTACTTAATAATGGTCCCAAAATGCAGGAGTTGTGGTGCTGACAATTTAAATATGCCATAGAGAAGCCATAAACTTTATCATAGGTATCTGTGTATAGAAATATAGTATATATAGGGTTCAATACTATCCACAGTTTCCAGCATCCACTAGGGCAGTGGTAGGCAAACTGCGGCTCGCGAGCCACATGCGGCTCTTTGGCCCCTTGAGTGTGGCCACGAAGTTTCAATCGCACTGTACGTGCGCGCCCGCACGTGGTATATTGTGGAAGAGCCACACTCAAGGGGCCGCAGTTTGCCGACCACTGCACGAGGGGTCTTAGAATATATCCCCTTCAGATGAGGGGTATTACGGTAGTTGAAAAAATGTCCCCAGAACTGAAAGGTATGCATTTCCAGATTGAAAGAGTCAACAAAAGCCCAGCAGATTGGGTACATTATTTTGAAGTTTCAGAACACGGGGAACACATTGTTATCTATTGCCTCTGATTGTTTTTGCACAGGGCAGAACTCCAAGTCAAGTCAAATAAAAACAGCCTGGCCAGTATGGTCTTCCAGGGAACCATGAGACGAGGTCACATGAAGAGAGTGCTCTGGGAATGGGGCTCTTAAGGAGCCCCAACCCTATTCTATCCCTTGCAGTGGCTGCCATGCTGAGGTTTTCACTGTGATTGCCACTGACTGGTGTTCAAGGTTACCATATGGGGAAATGCCACGAGCCCACTATTACCAAGATTCAGCTATTTCCCTAGAATAATAGCTACCTATAACAGCTTTCAGGTAATTTCCAGAGTTTTAAATAAGCTGATTTGTCCATGTTCTTACTGCTTTTATGAAGATGATTTTCAGAGGTCCCTCCTCTGCTATTTTTGCTGATGATCACCACATGTGGCTCTGTAAATTTAGGTTAATTAAAATTAAATTAAATTAATTCAGTTCCTCAGTTGCACTAGCCATATTTTAAATGTTCAAAAGTCACATATGACTAGTGGCTACTATATCGGACAGTATAGACGGACATTTCCATCATCTCAGAAAGTCCTATTGGACAATGTGGCTTTAACATATCCTCCTTTTATAGATAATGAGGCTAAAAAATGTTAAGTAACTATCTTAGAATCTCTGAGATTCCAAAACCCCATGTTATTAACTACCAACGAGTATTTTCCCACAGTGATTTCCAGCATTTTCGTCAGGGAATACAGGCAGTCCTCGGGTTACGTCAGACTCGACGTACATCGTTTCGTGGTTACGTCGCCATCTCCCACTTACAGTATTTATTAAAAAAAAAAAAAAGTTCCGTCATTTCAACGTATGTACATATGTGCTTTATGTTTTTTATTATTTATTTACCACAAGTAAAGGTCAGGAATTGTTATCTTTCTTTTAAATTTTTTTTACTGTTTCACTTCATTACTGCTGTGTATGTGCTCCATGTGAGTGACTAGGTGCTTATGTAGATGGGTTCTGACTTACGGCGAATCGCATTACATCGTGCTGTAAGAACAGATCTCCGACATAACCCGAGGACCTACTGTACATACAAAATGATATTTGTGTAGAACACACTGGAGTACGTGGATGTGACTACAAAATCACTGCCTCCAGTTCTGCTGCTCTTGGCTCTGCACAGTCATCCTAGAAATAGGGGGATCAGCAACCCAGCACACTAGTATGTCAAGACACCCTGACCCTGAAGTTCCACTATCTATATATATAAAAGGCTGAGTGACCGACCGACCGTCCGTTCAACCATCCATCCAACCAACCGACCGGCCAGTACATATGATGCACACTGGCAATTTAAACGTTGATACATATAAAGCTCTTGCTGGCGCCAATCGCATGCATGTGTTTCCATCTGTCATTGTCAATCGTGAATTTGGTTGACATTCTATTATAGAGAAAAAGCGAATGGTGATATTAAAATATTTCTTAATTTCCTTTCAATGTGCACAAACCACTAGTATAGTATAACAGTGATTCTCAAAGTGTGGTTCTGAGCCCAGAAGCATCAGCATCACCTGGGAACATGTTGGAAATGTAAATTCTCAGGTCCCATCCAGACCTACTTAATTAGAGATTCTGAGAGTTGGGTCAAGCAATCTGCAGTTTTACAAAACTTCCAAATGATTCTGGTACCCATAAAAGTTTGAATACTCTGTATTATATTATAAAAGCTTACACAATGAATGGTAATAGGAAAATTATATAACCATAATGGAACAACATATTTTTACACACAGAGACATATATGTGAAATTATGTGTGTGTATATATAATGTCTAGAAAAATCAATATAAAATTTTAAATTGTGTATTTTAAATACCACCTTTTATTCCTCTATTAGAAGACATTGCTGTTATGTATCCAAATGAATCTGTTATTTGTATCTTTTGTTTTGAACTAATGTACATTTTTATGAGTTTCTTCAGTTTAATTTTATATTCAAACTCTCCCAAACAAGTGAGTACCTACCTTTTCTTCAGCTTTATTGTAATATGTAGATATTGTGGTTATTAATTTCACTGTCTAAGAGTAGGATAGTTAGTTGAGTAAAAGCTGCAGTGCTAAAACACAAAATTCCTATTTATGTGTTAGCTCCAGTTTAGTGATTCTTAATTTCTTTAAGGTTGTTGACTCCTCAGAAAATCTATTCATAGAAATGGACATTGTCACTAGAAAAATATATGTATATTTAATGTTTTGCATCAAATTTCAGTTACCTTGATTTCATTGTAATAGGATAAAGATTTAGTTAGAAGTTCATGTTTTGTAGGATGTTACATATTTTTGGCTTTATTACTTACATTTATTTTAGTTAACATATTCCTTCTTCCTTCTTATCCTTACTCTAAGGTGGATACATTGCAAATAGCCTAGCAGTCATGACAGATGCACTTCATATGTTAACTGACTTAAGTGCTATCATACTGACCCTGCTTGCTTTGTGGCTGTCTTCAAAATCACCAACCAAAAGATTCACCTTTGGATTTCATCGCTTAGGTAGGTAATTGGGAGGTGTTTTTTAGATTATAGCATTTTATGGTAAACCAACAATGGACTATAACCTTTGATTAGCTGAAATCTTTCTGGTGATAAGCCTGTTGAAATAGATGAACAAAGCATATGAAAATGGGTGAACAGCATTTATTCAGATACATATCTTCCCATGTACTGAACTTCAGCCCAGTCAGCTGAACAGTTTACACATTTAAATTATATGGTAATCATTAATTTGTAAATGGTTTCCCTATGTCCTAATGATGTTATCAGAAAAAAAGTTTACCTTCAATTTATTGAATCAAGCAAAATTATGTGAGTTTAATTCATTAATGAGCATTAGCTTCTTTCTTTTACTTCAGGTTATTTCAACCAAGGCTACTGTGGCCAAGATTTTAAGTATTATTATAATACGTATAACATTTACTGTGTGGCTGACCTTCATTGAGGCCATTGTATCAACACAATTCTGAAAATGCTGACAAAGATTCTTTGCTTAATCACACTTTAGTCAGTCCCCTGAACCTTCTCCCAAGCCTCCCACTCTCAGTATCTTGCCAGTTATCCTTCAGGTGATGTCTCGCCACCCCGGCCTGTCTTCACAAGAATTCTATTCGGTCAGTTTTACCAGAATCCCCCTTCCTCCTGATGTTTCCTCTGTAGTTTTCCACCCACAGACTCCCAACCTGCTTCTTGGCTATAAATTCCCACTTGTCCATACAGTATTCAGAGTTGAGCCCAAACTCTCTCCCCCACTGCAAAATACCATTGCAGTGGTCCCTATGCCTATCTCAATAGCTTCTCCTCGTGAATAAAGTGTTCTTTACCATGTTGTAACAAGTGTCATTGATTTTTTTTCCTTTTTAATAATGAACACATTTTATTTTCCTATTTTTAACAGATACTAATATTTAGTTGAGGTTAAAATCATATATAATCATATACAACTGTGCTTCTTGCTGTGTTACTATTTTTAATTTTTTTGCTTATTTTAAAAATACATATAAAATAATTGCCTTTACTATTATGTGAAGTGCCATATGACCACATGTCATTTGCTCAGAACCCAAAAGGTGACATTTAGGTAGCTTCAGCAAAACCTGTCTTAAAGAACCAGAATTAATATATTGTTTTTTATTTTGTGTAGACACTGACACGCTTGGCTAATATATCAATCAGTTCCTCCCCTTCTGTGTTACTTTTTGACCTAATATTAACTCAGCATCTAGGTCTTCTAAAATGTAATCACTGGGTCTTCTGGTATATAACTTGACATTTTAGCTGAATAGCTATATTCCGAGTAGCTATCCAGGCCATCCGGCTGGGAAACTATCTGGCATCTCCACCCCTCAGCTCTCAACTGCTATACAAGAGAACTGAAGCCCTGAGTGAGGTGTTTCTGTTATAAGCCACTACATAATGCATTTGGATGTCTTCCTAAAAGAAGCCTCACTACTTTCCAACATATACATTCATTTGTTAATTGATTGACTTAAGGGTTTTTAACAACTTTAAAATTGCCCTGACCTGATGGCTTGGTTGGAGTGTGGTCTCATACACCAAAAGGCTGTGGGTTCAATTCCCGGTCAGGGCACATACCTACAGTACAGGTTTGATCCCTGGTTGGGCATGCATGTATGAGAGGCAGCGAATTAATGTTTCTCTCTCTCTCTCTCTCTCTCTCTTTCTCCCCTCCCCCATCCTCTAAAAAAATTTTTTTATTTTCCAATTTTATTGTGATTTAAACACCTGCAATTTAAGATCTAAAACATAGCATCCTGGAATGGGGATTTTTACCCTCTAGCTCTATTTGAGAGAGTACATTTCATTTAATGAAGTCAGTGGCACTCTATCCCAGAGATATGCAGTAATACAACATAGGAAGTCCTACATATAATAAATTAAAAACCAATAATCATGAAAATTCTATTAAATATCAAAGAAGTACTTAGTGTTTACCTAGATGGTCACTTTGTTTCTTCATAGACTATAAGCACTATGAAAAGATGAGAGAGAGTAGGACTGACTGGTCCTGTTGTGTCTCTGAAAATCCCTGCAGACTGTCGGATATTTCCCTTTCCTTACAAATGCTAAGTTCAGGATGGTGGACTAGATATCAGCATTTGACTCCTGTCTCTCCTGAGAGTCCACTGAAATAAAAAGTATAAAAACAACAAAGAGAAGTCAATGCTGGGTCACCAATAAACAAATTTCCAGAAATTTCTGAAAGTTAGAAAGTAGATGGGAGTGGGTTGAAGGAGAAAACAAGCCAAGAAGCCACAGCCTAGAGTACACCAAGCTAGGAACTGGCTCAGCCCAACAGATCTCTAAAGACAGCTCAGAACAAAGAGCATCAGGAGTGAGAATTGGGGCTGAAAACAAGGAAAATTAATTGAATGACTGTATGACCTTTTGGAGAGTGATTTAATTTCTCTGAGTTTCTTCTATAAAATATGGATGATAATACTTGTATTGCAGAATTGTGAAAAATACATAAGGTAAAGTGGTAAGGTATAAGTACCTAACAGGGTACCTGGCACAGAGTAAATTTTCAATAAATGTTAGTTTCAGTCATATTTTCCTTCCCTCTTGGTCTAGACTTTATATCTCTCAAAATGACCCATGCTTCTAAATTGCCTGCCTTCCCTTCTTTCCATATCAGAATTCTTATTCTCTCAGCATAACTGTCTCAGCTAGGTAGTAGGAGAAAAGTAAGATGATTCAACCTGATGAGTAACAATTTTAAAAGATGTGCTTTTTGACTTGGGTCTTTGGGAGCATTTTTGGCAATACAACAAAATTTATTTTAGCAAAAATCATTCCATCCTGGTGAAAGAAAGGTCGTTGGATTTGAAGGGTACACCCAAGGGGCTGTCCCAGGAATCAGTACCAGTCTGTTGGTATTTTCCTTTCCTTCGTGTGAACTCATAGATTGTGTAAAATCACTCAGGAGTTTCTTTTTCTTTTCCTTTTCCTTTCAGTGAGCTATAGTGGCAGCTCTTTTGTGGGAAGAGGGAGAGGAGGGTAGAAACCACATGAGAGTTATTTTTAAGTGCCTGCATTTATTTGGCTGTGGGTGGTTTGCCCTCTCATCCTGGAAGTTAATAAAACTTAGAACTTAATGAAACCACACCGTGGGGAGAAATTCCACAAACCCTTAGGCAGAATGGCACTATCTCCCAGACCAAGGGGACATGCTGTTCTAAAGAGAACATCCTTTGCTTGCTTGCTTGCTTTATTCCTTCTCTGAGGATTATGAGTGTAGTTGACTTTATTTATATGGTTTTTCTTTTATTTCTGGGGCTGAAGAGGCTGGATGGATTAGATAAAGATAGTGATCATGTGAAAGGACTGTAGTAGGCAGAGTTGTCTGCATTTGAAATAAAAAGCAAGATACACATTATGGTAATTCAGCTCATCAGCCTAGGTTAGTGGCAAAGTGACAGTGTGGGAGTCTTTCGTAATATGTAGTTCTACTAAGCAAAGGCCTTGGCAGATCTGGCTAGATGATTAATGTTCTGGGATATGTATATGATAATAATGTTAATTCTAGTTTGTTATTTATTCCCTGATGCTAAAGCATTTAGCAGAAAGTATTCAGATAAAAATTCTCTTCCCCCAAACATGCAGCCAAAAAAAAAAAAATCTCTTCTCTCTAGTTAGTGATTCATTTTAACAACTTCCTCCCCCTCTGATATGAGTTATGCCTACTTATTGTTCACATCTTAGTGAGAATTAATTCATATCACATGTACATCTCTAGGAAAAGAATAGGTACTTCCTAGAATTCAGAGTTTTTATTGAGGCAGAAGAAGACATGAGTGAGGTAGTCAATGTTGACTAGCCAAAAGTCAACTTGGAGTACTGGGGGCACCTTGAGTATGGATAGAGGGAGTAGTAAGAAGATAGAAAATAGGAGATTACTTAGAATAGGAGGTGAAAGGATCCAAAGACAAACTTTGCAATTTAGCTTGACATTCTGGTAGCAAAAGTGGGCCACTGAAAATCCTGTATGATGTCTTTAGCCTGAGTGTTGTTGGGTTATCTGTGGCTGCGTTGAAATACAAATATTAGTTTAAAAGTCCTAGGCAGATCCAATACAGCTCACTGATTTTTCCTCTGTTTCCTTCCTGTCTTCTATTGGATGAAGGTAGAAAAGAGAAAGAGCATAAAAGGAAGTGGGGGAGAGAATATATCTCCACTTTCCTTCCCTATTGATTTTTATTGAGCTCTGAAATCCGTCTTTAGATGTGCTATGTATAGTTCCTTGAGGCAATAGAAAGACAACATTATATAATTTAAGGGAAATGTATTCATTATTGTCATTGCAGTGTTGGCAAAGTTAACAGTTAAATGTAGGCCAGTACACCTAGGCAGCACTCACACAAAAGTGAATGTGCTGACTGAGTGTGGTTTTACATAGTTGAAACAGATTGTTACTCATTCACTGAATAGGCACTCAATAGTTACTTGTTCAGTGAATGAATGATAGTATAGTGTGGGGAGACAGGCAGTAAATATGTACCACAAACACAACATAATCATAAATTGTATTAAATGCTACAAAGACAAGAATAAGGTACTATGATGGAGAATAACAAAGGATGACGAAGAACTCAATATTTTTCATATGAACATTGAAAACCTCTAGTTTTGACAATTTATAGATGTGTTAAAATGTACATAAACATTTATTGTATTTTATGGTATGAGCAAAACTTAATAATCATCTATGTTTTCTCCCAATTAATTTTTTCTTTTACCAATTTATTGGCCATTCAAACCAAAAACTGTTTATTCACACTACTCCAATACTAGTTCAGCTGAGTACAGTGATTTAATTATCTGTGCATAAAGTAGCAAAATATATTAGAACTACTATAACAATAGGTTTTTCAGAATTTCTATAAAAATCCCTTTTAAGAGTTTTTCATTTTTGCTAAATTTCCATTTAGTCAAGTTTTCCGAAGCTAATGGGGTAGTAACTTTCACAGAAATCTAGGGTTTTAGTTGGGAAAGTTCCTGGGTCTCCTTTAGAAAATGAAAATCTGTATATGTTATACATTCCTTTTGTCTTGAAAATCTTTATTGTACATTATGTGACCAGAGACCAACCCAGAGCAACAAATGAGAAGATTGGAGCAAGTCATAATTTCATTGTTGAATGAAAATTTCCCTCCCTGTTAAACGTTGTTGGAGGAAAAAAGAATCTTGCCTATGTTTCTCTGCATTCCATCATGTTAAAAATACTAGGCAAAAATGTTAAACACTCATTAGTCCTATTCATATTTCACCAAAGTTTCATTCACAATGAAAGAACTTGTTGTTCCTTTTATCAGAATAAAATGGTCATATTACTATTATTAGGATTTTTAGCTATGTAGTATTATATATGCCTTATACTTCTCAATTATAAATCTCAGTCCCAAAAATCTACTTAAAATTCTGTGTGTGTTTCTCTTTTACACTTACCAGTTTTCTAGCTAGAAGACATTTTTACAGTCAATTAGAATAAAAACTAACAAATGAATGTCTTTGCTTTTCACCAAGGGCACTAGATGTGAGGCACATTCCTTCTGAATTGCTGGAAAAGGGATATAATTGATGACAGCATCTTAATATGTCATTTGGGAATTTCTAGGAATCAGCTGAATTCTATTACTCTTAACTGTGGGAAGTCATTGGGATCCCTTTTATGCTACTCTCCTGGGTGAAAACTATATTGTGAAAAACTGCATTTTCAGCTCCTAGTGGGCTGGGAATCCTCCTTGCCAAAAAATTCTGTTTATGCTGTAGTTTGACTTTCATAAAAGTTATATGAATGTGGTTGATCTCTCTCTCTCATAACCGATATGATAACTGAGAGGGCTATTGAGTGACTAATGGTGTACCATGGTTTTGAGTAGTAATTGTGTTTGTCTTATTCCAATATTAGTTCTGTTCATGCACAAAATTTTATTGGAGTTTCACCTAAATTAATGAAATGTCAGGAAATAGTTTCTAACTTCTAGATAGTTTTTCTGTATTGTAAGTTATAGGTTGGAATAAAAAGGTATCAAAGTCCAATATGCTTGAACTACCTGGAACCTTTGAGGAATGAATCGACCCAGACAATAGTTTTCCAGATTCTTTTACCTTTTAACACTTAACAGGATTAATGTCCGGTGTCTCTAAAGGAAAAATTTTCTTTAAAAGTATTTTCTTGTTTTGAGTGTCAACATTTGTTTTATGTAACAATGTTAGTTAATTATTTTAATATATAGTTTACATTGCCTATTTTTTGTTATTTTGAAAAGATAAATTATCTGTACTTTATACTCATATGGTAGAAAATTTATCTGGTATGAAAGCATATATAGTACAAAGCCATCCCTATCTCCTCACCCATTCTCCTCATAACCAGTTTTTTATCAGTATTTTGTACATCCTTCCGGATCTGCATTTGCAGATCATTATTTATATACTAGAGGCCCGATGCACAAAATTCATGCAAGAGTAGGCCTTTGCAGCCCCGGCTGCCTCGCGGCCCTGCCCCCCGCCCACTGGTCATTCCGGAAGGTCTTCCGCCATCCGGTCTAGTTAGCATATTAGCTCTTTATTATATAGGATATTCTTTTTTCTTTTCACACAATGGTAACACCATACACAATTGTGTTCTTTGCTTTTTCACTTTGTATTTTGGAACTTATTCCTTGTCAGTACATAAAGAGCCTTACTCATTTTTTACAACTGCACAGCATTCTATGTTATAAGGCTTCTACTAATAACATTTTTATTGTTTACAATTATTTGCTGTTCATACAGTGCTTGATGAATAGCTTCATAACATACCACATTTTGCACATGTGCTACTCAATTGGCATGAGTGTGTATGTCCTTCCTAGAAGAGGAATTCCTGGATCAGAGTACATCATGAATACTTGAATGCATAAAAATGTGTTTGTTTGTATTTAGTCTAAAGGTAATATATCTTTGTGGTTAAAAACTTAAAGACATTTTTAAAATTACTGAAAAAAAAAGTTAAATTCTCCAAGCTCCTCCTCCCACTTCCCAGATGTAACACTTTCTTGTCTATCTTTCCTATAGTTACCAATGTGCCTATTTTTTTCTTTTTTATACATAAATGGTTGTATGGTATCCCATTATATGTATATGCCACCATTTATCCATTACATTACTCATTGGGGAACAATTAGGATGTCTCTGGATCTTTTTGATACTACCAACAAAGCCGCAGTGAAAAACCTTGTAGATACCTTTGCATACATGTGGATGTGATTCTAGATTCCTAGAATCAAGGAATACATGCCTTTTAAATTTTGATTAGTTTTGATAAGTGCTCTCCAAAAAGATAGTTTTCTTTGATCCTTCCATCAGTATATCCTTGCTGACACTATTATCAAACTTTTTAATTGTTGCCATTTTAGTAAGGGCCAAAAAGGAATCCTACTGAATTTACTGTATTATGATTGATTTTGATAAGTTGGCCATTTCTGTTTATTTTCTGTATATTACTATTTATGCTCTTCACCCATTTTTCTGATGAGTTGTTCACTGTGTTATGATTTGTAAGTGTACTTGCCTACTAGGAAATTAGTCTGCGGTCATGTATGTTACAAATATTTTTTCTCAGGTTTTCCTTTTTTGCCATGTGTTTGGTCTATAAATACACATAATTTGACCCTAAAGAGATGAGGGGAAGGTAGCAAGTGGTAGGAGTGAGTTAGTGGGGGATTCAGATCAAACTACTAAACCTTTTTAAATAAAAATATATATAGTATACCTGAAACTAATATACTGTTATATGTCGGCTATACCTCAATTTTTAAAAAATGTTCCATATCAAACTATTTAAAATAATTTTTAAGAAAAACATGACAGATGATATAGTGCTTTTATCTTCTTAGAGGAAAGGAGATCTAAATAAATAAAAGATTGTACAATATTTAGTTTGTATGAGGTGTACTAACTATGCTGCAAATACATTTGTTTTTTATATTTTTCCTTCCAGAGGTTTTGTCAGCTATGATTAGTGTGCTGTTGGTGTATATACTTATGGCATTTCTCCTATATGAAGCTGTCCAAAGAACTATCCATATGAACTATGAAATAAATGGAGATATAATGCTCATTACCGCAGCTGTTGGAGTTGCAGTCAATGTAATGTAAGCTCGATGTTTTTTTAAAAAATTTAACTGGCTTTATTCTGTAGAGCAGTTTTAGGTTCACAGCAAATTGAGGGGACTGTACAAAGATTCCCCACATACCCTCTGCCCCCACACATGCATAGCTTCCCCCATTACCAGCATCCCTCACTAGAGTGGTACGTTATTACAGTTGGTGAACCTGCACTGACACATCATAATCACCCAAAGTCCATAGTTTACATGGTTCACTCTTGGTGTGAACATTAATGGGTTTGGACCAATGTATAATGACATGTATCCAACATTTAGTAGCATACACTCTACGTTGTTTTCACATGAATAGTCTCAAATACTGTGAACTTAGAGACTATACATGCATTCAGTAATATGCAGTGATATTTTAATATATTTATAAATTATATAGTACATCAGTTTTTCTTATAAATATTAATAAAACACTGTTGGAATTATAAATTCCTCATTGGTTTGTACAGGTATACTGAAGTTTGACTAACAATCACAAATTTAAGTAGGACAAATTTTTTTAATTTAATTTTTATAATACTTTCATGTTGAGATTTTTTTTAACAACCAACTTTTTTTCCTAAAAACATGAAGTTTTTAAGTTAAATACTCAATCATGTGAATCAGGGGTCAGCAAACTTTTTCTGTAAAGGGCTAGATAGTAATATGTAGGATTTTAGAGCCATACAGTCTCTTTCTCAGCTACTCTGCTGTTTTAGAACAAAAACAGTCCTATTCAGTATGTAAACAAATGAGCATGGCTGTGTTCCAATAAAACTTTATTTACAAAAAAAGGCTATGGGCCAGATATGGTCTACAGACCATGGTTTGCCAGTCCCCATCTAGTGGCTTCTATTCTATATTTAGAATAAAATCAAAAGTCCTTACCATGGCCTTTTAATATTATTCTGTGTACCACTCCAACTCATGTCCTAGCACTCTTGCTGACTTTATTCTAGCCACAGTGGCTGTCTTGCCTTTTTTAAAACACATAGAGCCCCTTTGCATCCAGGCCCTTTACCCTGGTATTCCTTCTGCTAGAACACTCTTCCACCATAACTTGCTTCCTGGCTTCATTCAAGTCTCTGCTCTGATGGAATCTAAGGGAGGCCACTCTCCCCATCACTCTCCATCACTAGCAACGCTTTACTTTTCTTCAACGCCTTCCCATCGTCTAGCAGTACATTAGGGATTTATTTGCTGACTGCTCTGCCTTCCGTACTAGAACATAAGCTCTAAGGGGATAGGGATCTGTCTCAGTCACTCTTTTGACCCCAGCACCTAAAATAGTACCTGATACATAATAGGTGCTCAAATATTTAGTAAATATTGCCTCACTCATATCTGATTAGTCATAGATATTTTTATCAATAGCATTAGGACAAATAATAATGTTTTGTTTTCTTTTTTTTTAACAGAATGGGGTTTCTGTTGAACCAATCTGGTCACCATCACGCCCATTCCCACTCCCTGCCTTCAAATTCTCCTACCACAGGTCCTGGGTATGGGCACAACCATGGGCAGGATAGCTTGGCAGTGAGAGCTGCATTTGTACACGCTTTGGGGGATTTGGTACAAAGTGTCGGTGTGCTAATAGCTGCCTACATCATACGATTCAAGGTACTATAATTGCTAATTTTTTATTTTAAAATATATTTAATTTCAACATTAAAACTAAAACTGATTAGCCCTGGCCAGTGTGCTAAGTGGTTAGAGCATTGGCTAGAGCACCAAAGGGTTGCAGGTTTGATACCCTGCCCGGTGGGAGCATGTGGAGGAGGCAACCAATTAATGTGTCTCTCTCATATCAATGTTTTTCTCTCTCCCTCCCTCCCTGTAGTCTTCCCTCCCTCCTATCTAAAAATCGATGGAAAAAACATCCTCGGGTATGGATTAATTTAAACAAGAAAAAACAAACTGATTGTCTTTCATCAGTATACTGGACACCAGTGCCACTCCTATTCATTTTGCACTTATGCAAACCTAATGGAGCCACCAGTCTATATAGCTCTTTTGTTAGCACTGAGCACCATAGTATCACATCACGAGGTAACTTACCTGTAACTGACAGGTACTAGAATGTGCATGTAGTGAAGTCCAGAGATCTGGGTTCTAGTGTTGGCTCTGCCACTAATGCTTTGACCTTGAGCAAGTCCCTCAACTCAAAATTTGAGTTCCCTCCTCTTTAATATGAGGGGCTTAAATCCAATTGATGACTGCTAAGACTCCTCCTAGGTCTGATGTTCTATGGTTCTGGGCAGACGATTTAGAGAAGGCACAGAGGAAAAGAACAGAACAAACCATTAAACTGCTGAAAATGGTCCCACAAGGAAAGGCATTTAAACAACCAGGAAAGAGTTCTCAGATGCAGTGTCCTGGTTTCAGAGGTATTCTGCAGTCCTGCTAGAGGACAGGGGCAGAGTATTCCTTAGTTTGCCTTACAGTCTGTTATATGTCTGTCGATATTTAACCACACAATTTTGATCTGTCACTTCACAGCCAGAATACAAGATTGCTGATCCCATCTGTACATATGTATTTTCATTACTTGTGGCTTTTACAACATTTCGCATTATATGGGACACAGTAGTTATAATACTAGAAGGTAAGATCTCATTAATATCCCCATTGTGGATGTATTCCTAAGTCAGATTGGGGGTCCGGGAAGACTCTGGGGTAGGAGCCATGTCTTTTCTTGTTTTTATTGATACTTACTAGGCTACAGTTACACCACCTTACATGTATAGGACGTATAAGAATCCATGCACTCTCCCATATGTTACCTATTTGATCTTTATAATAGCTAAGAAAAGTAGGTAAGGCAAACATTATTATCCCCATTTACCAATAAGAAAATTGAGGTTCAGAGGGGTAGTATAACTTGATTAAGGCCATGCTGTTACTCAATTACAGAGCTAGGACAAGAATGCAGCTCTTTGATTCTTAATGCAAGTATGTGTAGCGGTTCATTAATTTACTAGAGGCCCAGTGCACGAAATTCGTGCATTCAGAGGAGGAGGTCCCTCAACCCGGCCTGTGCCCTCTCACAGTCCAGGAGCCCTGAGATCGGTCGCCCCAAAGAGGTAGGCCCCGCCCACCACCACAGCCTGCCAATCCGTGGCCTGGGTCTCTCTCTTTGGGGCGATCATGGAGCCCCCCGATTGATCACCCCGCTGGCCGGTGGCCTGGGCCTCCCTCTGCAAGGTGATATGGGGTGATAGCCGGGCCCCTGACCAATCGCATCGCACCTGCCTTGGCTGGCCTGGCGCCAGTGGGTGTCATAATGTGGTAGTCCGGGTGGTCCTTCTGCTGTTTGGCCGTTGGGTTGATTTGCATATTACACTTTTATTATTATAGGTTAATTTCAACTTAACTTGCAGCTTTGTTATATTTTCAGCATTCCTGCCTTACCAATATTACATATAAGCATGTAAATATAAGTTCTCAACACTAGTTTAGCCATCATTGGATGTTCCTTTCTTTTTATTTTTTATTATCCTAGCTTATTTGTTAAATGAAGTAACCTGGGCTGGTTAACATACCTTTTTAGTGAGAATGAACATTTTTAAAGTATTTATTAACCTTTTGTGTATATCCTACTATATGTGTGCATGGTTTATCTTAAAATACTAATATATTTTATTAGAAAGTGTTCATTTTAAAATGAATTTAGCAAAGCTAGTTGTCTGTTTGTTTGTTTGTTCGTTTTCGGGGGGAAGGCCCACCAGTAATTTATAACTTTTTCCCCTAAGATAAATTTTACTTATAAATGATATATTCTGAACTAATAGGTGTACCAAGGCATTTGCATGTTGACTATATCAAAGAAGCCTTGATGAAAATAGAAGATGTCCATTCAGTGGAAGATTTAAATGTCTGGTCTCTTACTTCAGGAAAGCCCATGGCCATTGCACACATACAGCTAAGTATGTTGCTGTTGGTAAATACTGGAGTTGGTGGACTTCTGTCTTTGGGATTAAACATCTATGCTTATAATTAAGTAGGAAGACTTCTGGAAAGATTTGTTTTAAGGGAGGGTGTGGGTTCTTCAAAAGATAAGTTGCAGGTTGATGTTTATAGCAGAGCAATAATTTTTATCCCTTTGAGATGAGATGAAACACAGATTTTTGCCTTCAGATTAAAGGTACTGGGTGTATTTACCATGCTTTTTCTACATAAGAAAAGCTAGAGCCTGTGTTTTTTCTTTAAATCATTTCACAGACCGATGCTTTTTATTTGATTTTTTATCAAAATAGTAAATGCATGAGTTTTATTTTTGAAAGTACAAAAGATGAGCCCTGACCTGTTTGGCTCAGTGGATAGAGCGTCGGCCTGTGGACTGAAGGGTCCCAGGTTCGATTCCAGTCAAGGGCATGTACCTTGGTTGTGGGAACATCCCCAGTGGGGAGTGTGCAGGAGGCAGCTGAATCGATGTTTCTCTCTCATCGATGTTTCTAACTCTCTATTCCTCTCCCTTCCTCTCTGTAAAAAATCAATAAAATATATTTTTTTAAAAAGTACAAAAGATGAAAGACTTGTAATTGATGGTTAGATTTCTTTCTCTACCCGAAAGTGGACTGGAGAGAGAGGGATAAGGAGAAGCTGGTCTGGCTTGACAAACGGACACACTTCTCTCACAACAGCTGCAGGAGGGTAAAAATCAAACTAGTAAAAATATGTTCAGAGCATACTAAGGTTGTTTTCTCCCTGGGTCTTACTCACTAATGTGTAATGTACAATGAATAGTAACGATATTTTCTTGACATTGCAGTTCCTGGAAGTTCATCTCAATGGGAGGAGGTACAGTCCAAAGCCAGGCATTTGTTGTTGAACACATTTGGCATGTATAAATGTACTATTCAGCTTCAGAGTTACCGGCAAGACGTGGACAGAACTTGTGCAAACTGCCAGAATGCCAGCTCCTAACTGAAGATGTCTGGGGGACTACTGCCTTATTTACCCTGCAGTCACAGACTTGAGAGCAATAAATGCACTTGAATGGGAGAATGGAATTCCTGAGAGCCATGCCCGGGCACTGGCCTCGCAGTCAGCCTGAGAGTGCTAGTTTCTGTCGAATGGAAAAGTGAGACTTCACCATGATTTTCAGATGAAGATGTTTCCAAAACACTGTTTACAGAATGAGACGTGACTCTACAGATACCTCAGAGAAGACAATCGAAGACCGTACTCACAATCACAGCAGAGCATGTGTCATGAAGGAAGCATCAAGAGTTCTGTATTTGCATTTAAAAATCCTTTTTAAAGCCCATTTCTATCAAGCCAGTGCTGGAAAACTGATTTTTTAATGTAATCTTGATACCCAGCTTCTGGAATTTGACACCCAGCTCTCTCTTTTTACAGAAATGATTTCTCAGCAGATTTCAGAAAGTACTAGTAATTATCCAGAGTGGAATAAGCATGTATTCCTAAATGTTTCAGAAATGTTTTATTTCACAAGTAAGTCTTATTGGTATTATTATACTTTATAAACAAAATTTTCCAGATATTACAGGGTTTTGAATCTCAATTTTTGGTTATTTGTAATCTTATCAGAACCAAATCTTTACGTATTGTGGTCACTGTCATTAAATTGCTTAGGAAATATTTTCAGTTTATTCTGAATGGCAGAAAATCTTAAACTGGAATTACTATATGATAATTTGAACAAATATAGAAGCAAGGATGGGGTGTGGAGTTTCAGATTTAAGTCTTTCTGAAATCACTTTTATTGTCCATGGAATTTATCTTTGCTTACGAACAGCAAGCGACGCAAAATGCAAACAATGATGCTCTGTCCTTTTAGAAATTGCCTTATGTTTTGTACAGAAAGTTTGCTTGGTACCTTGCTTCCTGCCTCCATACCAGGTCATCTGCTTGTGCCTTTCAGGGTAGAGCTCTAGAGAGCCAAGGTTCAGTTTTAATACCCGTCTCTCCCATGCAGATTAACTACATTTCTCCAGAGAGAATTTCTGTATGATGATATGGATTAGGAATCCTCCACAGGCTCCAGAAACCCTAAGATATAATTTTGAGGTTTTCCAATAATACCATAGCAGAAATGCTAAAAGGGATTGGGGGAAGACATGATTTTCAGAAGACAAAAATTTTAAGGGTTTTGGAGTGTGTGTGTGTGTGTGTGTGTGTGTGTGTGTGTGTGTTAAAGCACTGGAATAGGATGGACATTAAATCTGTGTGGTAGGGAAGTTAAGCATAAAAGTTTCCAAACAGAAGGCAACCTAACTGGTAACAGTTGTATTAAAGAGGCAACTGTGAATATTCCTGTCAACTGTTGGTTTTGGGATTATATTTAGTGCACGTTAGGGAGTCCATTTTCAGCAGAGAATCGGGATAAAGTAACATGTACCAGACAGGCTGTGAGATGAAATCCTAGATAGGCAGGCCAGTGACTTAAAATGTAAGTGAAGAATATGAAACAGATTTCATCTTTCTGCCAAGGACCTCACTATAAGTAAACCTAAGGTAAAATCTAGATTCACCTAAAAGATTGTTAAGAGTCAATGGTGTCCAACAAAAGTTTTAGTGAGTGTTAATGGTACCTAATAAAGCCCAGCATTTGTTGAATCGAATTGAAAATTTTATGGGATTCTTACTGTGAATCCATTTAAAATAATGATTTTAATTTTTCAAAAATTTTGGGAACATATAATAAAAAATACTCTTTTATTATATAATGTCCTGTATTTCAAAAAATACTCTTAAATGTAGAAGGCAAGTGAGAATAAACGAGAGGCATGTCAGTGCACATCTGGGCATTTACGACTTTGGGCACCTAGCAGAGAAAGGAAGAGAATGTGCCTGTGCTAATAGGTTTCTCCACATTTGCAGCTGTTCCCATATCTACTGAGCTCGTTTCTTGTCGACCTGTTCCTTGAAAAGTTATTGAGTAAAACAGTCTGAAATCCACTTGAGGATTGAAAAGGATCCTTTTGTATAATGGAGAAACACTGACAACTTTTGTAAATCTTAATTATTATGTTCTGTTTAAAATTAGGTACACATGAAGTTTTCTGTGCTTTGTTGTTTTGTGTGTTTTTTTGCAGCAACTACAGATTTTATGCTTGTATTTTACTGGATCTGTGAGATTTGATAATTGATAGATTTAACTCTTTGTAACTTGACAAAACCCACAGAAAAGGATGTGAACTTAGCAGATGGGAGCAGGGGCTGCACAGCGTCTGACAGAGACACAGAGAAAGAGCCATCCATTGTCCTGTGAAAAGCACAGCTGAGCCTGGATTAACACCTACCATTGTTCACTTTGCACTGGGAAAACATCATAACAAAAACTGGGCAGTTCTTCAGTGTGATGTGTTTTCATTAACATTTGCAAATAATCAAAGTTGTGTACATAAACCTGTGTTTCACAAGTCTGGCCAGACTAGCCTTTTGATTTATCTTAGGAAAAGGCCTATTGTTTCGTTGATGACTATACTGCCTTAGAAATACACCGTGGGGAATGCAGTTGAATAAGCATATTTCAGAGAGCTTTGAAATGCAGAACCGAAATTACATCATTCCCACATGCATTTTCCACATGCATTTTCCATTAGCTCTGCCTGTGGAGCATGAGCCCAGATTTTCACACCTGCGGCTCCCGTCAGTATTATTTGCCAGTTCACTGGATTTCTTATCTTTCTGTTTCTTTTTCAACTCTGGATGCCATATTTCCATTTCTGAACCGAAGTTTCCTGCTCTTAGGAGTGTCAGTGTTCTAGTTCTGTCTCTTGAACCCAGAGGTCCTCACTGACAGTGTTTATCTTTGGTAGAATTTTCCCAGAATAAACAGACATCAGCTTCCCTTTCTTTTTAATGTGAGGGAAAAAAATCTTTCAGAAACAAAGCACCATTTTAAAGATGCTTCAGGGTGGGAAAGACCGTTTTTCCAACAGCTGATTGTTCTGGTTCAGAATCTCCGCACACAGAATGCGGGCGGGAGAAACAGCACACTGCAGACATGAGTGAAGGTCATCGCTAATGAGATGCTGGCCTGTGCTGCTTGAACTCCCACGCCCACTCCTGTGGAAGGGAGACTCGCTCACCTCTGGAACAAGCACAGTCAGCTAAATTTATTTTCTCTTTATGCATTTATGTTCATTGTTTCATCATAAGGAATAAGGTGTTCTTAGAGAAACTGAGCCCCTTTAGTACAAGGTTTTAGGCAATTTTTCTGTTGACTGTACTTTTCATACAGTAAGTTTAAAGTTACAGACTATCTTCCTAAGTATAAGATCAGTTCATTTGGTTCAGTTTGTCTTTGAACCACGCTTCGCTCATGAGCCATCTGGGTAATAGTCACAAATGAAGTGACAGTTGGCAATGCTGTGTTGAGGGGAGGCAAGTCTGATCTCCAAGTAACTGATTAAGCTTAATATCTTTCTAACCAAGATGCCTAACCGCAGATCTGTTATGTGAATCGCCAGGCAGGGCTTGAGACTTGTTTCACAGATTACCAGGCAGGGACATCATTTGTGGTGGTGGTGGGAGCACAGAAGTTGGAGGGGATAACTTGTGGGAGCTCCTCAGCATTGAATTGTGTGTGTGCGTTCGGCCAGCCTGTCATGAGTTCTGGCTGCAAAGGGGGTTAACCTGTTCTTCTAGTTATACTGTGAGGACCAACAAACAGTTTCTTATATTCAGTAAGATTGGAAAACATTTATGGGGACTTTCTCTGACAGTGTCAGTTTAAATACTGCAATTACTTGTTTTCTGAAATAATTACAACAGAAAACTGGGATGTGCCAGTGTGTCTGCTTTGCACCTGGAAGTTACTGTACATCTGGAAGGTTTGTGCTTCTCTAAATAGATGTTGCTGAGTAAGCCATGTCACAGTGAAACAAGGCGTAGATACTTTTCCACATACCCCTTCAGAAACCAGTATTTTGCATATGATTGATTTTAGAAAGATTTGGAAGCTGGTGTTTGCCCATGTAATTTAAAATCAAAGTATAGTATATGTACTGTATTTACAATTTTTAAATTGTAATTTCCTATGCCTTTATTAAATAAAGTATTGTTTTGCCATGTGGTTTATTAAAAATGAAAATGTACAGTTCCTTAAATTAAATTTCTGGGTTTCTATTGAGTAAGTCATAGTAGTAGGCCTCAAAACATATCTTCTTAAAAAGCAATGGAAAATAGATGATAACCTATCTAGTTTTATAATCTCAGATTGTAATGCCCTCTTAGATGTTTAAGAAACAAGCCTGAAAAAAATCTTCCAAATAGGATAAAAAGATCTAAAGAACCTTCATCTTTTTATTTTATATCAGTCACTTTTAATGTCCCACCAGCCCAGCAACAACGACAGAAAGGAAAGAAAGAAGCCCCCGAGAAAGTAAGATTGGTGAAGACACAGCAAAGTCCGAGAGCGAAGACCTAGTGTCTCTCCAAGAACGTAGATGGGGGGTCAGCAAACTTTACCTCACGGGCCAGGGCCAAAGAACTGAGAATGGATTTTACATTTTAAAATGGTTTTTAAAAATCAGAATAGTAATATATTATGATGTGAAAATTCTATGAACTTTAAATTTCAATGCTGAAATCCCAGTTTGCCTGTGACCACTCAATTATGCCTGTTGTCCTGGCATAATCAACAACAGCATCTCCTTTTATTCTCAAAGTGGCCAGTTTCTGATAATAAATGATGAGGTCACCCTAAAAAAATAGTCAGTGTCTGTAAATAAAATGTTAAACACAACCACTCATTCAGTTACGTGTTGTCTGGCCGCTTGCATGCCGCAGTAGCAAAGATAAGTAGTTACAACAATATAAGCGTGTACCATCGGTCCCGTCAGAGGAGAAGTTGGCCAACCCCTGGCAGAAGTCCCCTGTTGTACCCTGTGAGGCCTGGCAGCATATGCGGATGCAGCAAGCCCTTCGAGAGCCCACTTGGAAGCTGCTGAGACTGGTCCCTCAGAGGCTACCTGAGTCCCCGAAGGCTCTTTTCTTCCCTTTGATCCATTTTCTTGTCTTTATCCCCCTTGGAGTTTGGGCAGAAATACAGGAAAAGAGGAGCAAGTTTCAGATGTTACCTATGCACCATATGCTGTATCTAATGTTCACTAGCAAAGCAGTTTTCTACCCAGAACAACAGGATCAACAGAATCGTTTGACAATACTTTTCATCATAAAGTTTTATTCACTTGATTTTTAATTTTTTTACTAAAGTTATGACAAAAACAAAGGAAATAAAAATGTATGTATGTTGAGTACCTTCTGCAGTTTGTGCCAAGTGAAAGCTCACAAATAAAAAATAACACTTTCTCTGCTAAGATGTTTGTGAAGTTTTTAAAAGAATGTTCTTAAAAGTTTTCCCGTTACCTAGGAAAAGACTCAACTATTTTTGAAAATAGTAATAAAATAAAGTTTTAAATAAGTTATTCTAGCAAATAAAGAGACGTTGCATATTGTTTATCTACTTATCTGCTTAGCTATATTTCTGTTTTGATGTGTCATTTTTTTTTGGTCCATGTCAGATGCTAAAATAAATTCTAATTTGGGGCCACAGCCTTGCAAGCTCTTGCTTATGCTAAGCTTTCAGCTTTATTTAATGTTTTAGTAGGCTTATGTTTTTTATTATAATTCAGTTCCAACTATTATCTATTGTAATAGCTATAAGCTATAAAATAGACTAGACAAAGTATAAATAGGAAGTAGGAAGCCTTATGACTAAATATCACCTCTAATCATGTGTTTAAGATTAGAAGGCTTAAAAATCCAGCCTCAATGAAATATCACCAAAGATCTCATCATTTTAAAGCAGCATTCTGGTATAAGGCCTTCATGTGACTTTGAAAAAACATAAACTGTAAAGTTTAGCCTATGAGTATTACCCAAAATACCTGAAGATTATACTCTGTAAATTACCAAAGAGTCTCATGTCTCCTGTCCTCGACTTTTCAAAAACTTGTTCTGATTAGACTTTCAAATTCCTATTGTCTGTTTCACTTGCCAATTTCCGCATATTGATTTATGGGTGGTTGTTTTTTTAACACTTTTGGTCACTTTACCAAAATGCTGACACCATGGGAAAAAATTGTGGTTTTTCTCCCAAAATATATAGAGCTACTTCTTGGTAAGAGAGTGGTTTTTTTTGTTTGTTTTTTAAGTAGGAAATTTTTAGAGACCTCATGAAAGCAAGGCCAGTCCTAGACAAGCTGACACCTCTGTTCCCTCGACTGGCCTGGGACTGAACATCTGACCCCACCCTCCTCTCTCATCTTTGCCCCACTTCCTTTCCAGAGGAAAGACAGGTAAATGGTTACAGGGATGTTTGCCTCTGAACAGTGATTACAGTGAACGTGTGACCTCAGCCAAGGCGTGAAGATGTGAAGACAAGAGTTTCCTGCCCCTCCATTCATTAACCTATCATATTCACCTGTGAATGCTACAGGGCAAAGCCTAGTTCTAAAAGGCTCTTAATCAATTAAGTGTGACTGGAGTTTCAGAATAAACAGAATATAAGCCTATTCCATCCTCTCTGCTTCTTTTTTTTATGGCACTGGAGTTTCAGAATAAACAGAATATAAGCCTATTCCATCCTCTCTGCTGCTTTTTTTTATGGCAAAGGTGGGAATTTGTTTTGTGTAAGAATGTTCTCCAAAGCCCAGGATTGTTTTAAGCCCCTATGAATAAAATACTTGCTTTTTTGTGTAAGAATGTTTTCCAAAGCCCGGGATTGTTTTAAGCCCCTATGAATAAAATATCCATATATATATACCCATATATATCTATATCTATCTATATATATATATATATATATATATATATATATATATATATCTGTCATTCTTGTCTTTAAAATACCATGATATTGAAATTGGGGACATCTCAGAAAGTTGGTTCAATGATTGAAAGTGGTTTTCTCTAAAGTGGACTGAGACTACTTCCAAATGCCATTCATTTTATTCAACCACTGAACATGTTATGGAACAAAACACAAAATTCCTATGTATTTTTAAAATTAAATGGGAAATGAAATAATATGTTTTGGGGGGGACATCTTGGTCTACCCCTCACCCCTACAGATAGATCATGCTCCCATTAGGGGTGGCTTGAGAAACTGTGGCCTGTAGGATAAAATCCATCATCTTGGTAATGACGTACAAAACCCTTCTGATCTGGTGACTGCTTACTTCCTTCTCCACCCACAGTTCCATCCTCTCCACCACCACTATCCTGCCTCCCATGTATCAGCCATACCAGACAACAGTCAACTTTTGGTTTACAGGGGAAATATTAATTTTAATATTTATTGAGCCCTTACTGCATTCCAGACACTGTGTTGTGCACTTTATCTGTATTATTTAATCTTGTGATGGTACTTTGAAGAACATTATAATCTTCATTTTGCACATGAAGAAACAGA